TACTTATATCCAGAAAATGTATGTAACTTTCACTACTCAGTTACAAAAAGACAAATAGCTCAATTTTAAATGAGCAAAGGATTTGAATAGACATTTTTCCAAAGAGGATATAAAAATCTTCACGCTATTTGAATTGTACTAGAAATTGTTTTTAATTAAACCTATGATTATTTTATGAATAGTCATATTTTTTCATTAAATTAAAACATTCATTAAAAATATAAATATGAAAAAATACACCAGTTTTAACCCTATTTTGCAAATATTTATATGTGTTTGCTTCCTATTTTATTAGCTGCTAGTATCAATAAATATGGAGCTAGGCCAGATATCATTCAATCTCTTAAGCACGGTTCTGTCATCTGATAAATCGGGTATGGAGCACACACTGGGGTATTGGAAGGTTTTGTGAGTGGCTATCAGAAACCATTCTGAATTGATGAATTAGCTAGATCGTATTTGGCTGCCCTGAAAACAGTGCTACTATGGCTATCTCTGCTCTGTAATTTACCTGTCAGCTAGGGTACTGTTTGCACCACTGTGACTCCAGAGGATGTGGGCTAGGCTCATGCGTTATGGACTGTACAACCATGTGAAAGAAAGAGGTAGGAGCATAAAGGCACACTGAAAAAGCTCTAGTGTATAACTGAAGCTTATATTTATCTACTCTAATAGCCTGGTTTGGTAATGTCCACTGTGCGCCACATGAAGATTAACTATTTTTAAAAAGAGCTACAGCAAACATTCATCTCCTTTGTCCTTTGTACTGTATGTCACTCACATTTCATTTTATGTGGAGTCTCAGAGGATGGAGGCATTATTTGAAGTCATAAATGACTAATTTTATGCAGAGGCTATCACCATCTGCAATCCACAGAAATATTCAAAATAAATGCAGTAGGTATTCTGTGGTTTACTTCTAATGACCTTCCAAAATATTTAACTAATGTTATAATTAACTGGTGACAGATGCAATTATTTTCTAGTAGAAAAATTAAGTCACTATATATCATTATCAGTAGTCTGATTAATTATCCATAGCAATGGCAGAAGTAAGCTCCTTAATTAAAAATCAAAATTGCAGGACCATACTAAAGAAGGACTTCTCCAAGCCTATTTGATATATTAATATTTTTTGACATTTCATGACATCATCATCATGATCATCTTCATTATCACCATAGTCGTCATAGAAAAAAAATGAGGGCTTCCAAATGCATTAAAGCACCTTCTTTATATGAATTTTTTCATTTAATTTACACAAAAATCCTACAAAGTAAGAGGCAATCATAATATTCTCATTGTACAGATGAGACTTAAAGAGGTTAATTAACTTGCTCAAGATACCTCATCTAGCAAATTCCAGAGTCCTCCTGTTTATCTTTATGGAGTGAATGTCTGATGTCCTAACAATTTCACACTTCTCCTCTCATCTAAAAACATTTTTAATGCAAAGGTACCAGTACCTGCCACAGCCATAAATAAATATCTTATCTTGTCTTTGGGAGATAGTAGCACAACCCAAAATCGGACTAACCAATCAACGGACAGAGAGATTTTCTCGATCAAGAGTAACAAATCAATGTCAAAGTTAGAAGAGAAAGCCAGGCTGGGTACTCATAGCCAATATGTCTGCCAAAATCAGAATTTATTGCTACTTTCAACAACTACTTGTTTTTATTGGTTTATGTTCGGCAACAGTGTTATACTACAGGAAACTTCAAAATATTTATTTTATACCTATTCTGGGTGCTTTTTATAGACTTTTCTCACAGCAATCCTGAAAGGTAGGTATATTGTCATGATTTTAGAGGGTATATAACTTATAACATTTTCAAGGTCCCCCTTAGGATTCCCAACACGTTTTCAGATTCTAAAGACCATGTACTTACCTTCCAAACAATATGGCCTTTCTGATGCACTGAGTGTTGTTCATTAAAACCTTGATATGAAGACTAAGAACCAGAGACAAAGTGGAACTGAGAAAGAAAGATGGAAAAAATATCTGGAAGAAAATTTGGGTTAAGTATGAGAGTGGAATGGAGATTGAGAGAGGGTGTTAGAAGGCCATGTTTCCCTGTTTGTTTTCTTTTTCCTTTGAGACAGTCTCACTCTGTCACCCAGGCTAAAGTGCTGTGGTATGATCTTGGCTCACTGCAACCTCTGCCACCTGAGTTCAAACAATTCTCCTGCCTCTCAGCCTCCTTAGTACCTAGGACTACAGGCACATGCCACAACGCCTGAGTGATTTTTCTATTTTTAGTACAGACAGTGTTTCACCATGTTGGCCAGCCTGCTTTCGAACTCCTGATCTCAGGTGATCCACTTGCCTTGGCCTCCTAAAGTGATGGGATTACAGGTGTGAGCCACCGTGCCTGGCCCCTGTTTGTTTCTAATGATGAATCCAAGCATAATTCCAGAGAAGGAAAGTAACAACAAAATGCCAGGTCCTTGTGTAAGACTCTCCTCTGTCTGTCCTTGCTCTCACCATCCAGTGGCTTAAGTTATAATTTATGTTCATTGGAGTTAGTGTTACTCAGCAGAGCTGACTTCTTGAGCTGAGGATTTTATTGTATATCTATAAATAGAAGTGACATTTAAAATAAGTATGTGAATAAAAAAGTTAAAAAAAATAAAGGTTTTTTTTTTTTTTTAATCACGTTTCAGATGGTGAATTGTGACCTATCATGAGTGGAACCCCAACAAGTGCTGGCCACACTGAGATTCAACACCAGGGAAGGTTTAGTTTTCAGCACAAAGTAGATATTCAACACATGACTGCTGAACTAATATTAACAAAATGTAACCACCAGGCTAGCTCCCTTAGACACCAAACATCTTTTAGGTCCCACTTACCCCATTTGAATAAAATGAGGTCCTCTCAGGCAGAAATTGTTTTGTATTAGAAAGACTAAAACTTAAGGAGGGAAATACACTGTAAATAAAAAGTCCACGACAAATTGAGATGATATTATGGGGTCATCTGTATCCTGCTTATTTGTCAAATTCCATCATGTAATCATGGGGTGGAAGCATTTGTCCTGTAGAATTTAGAGCCAGTTTCTCAGAGTCCCACCTATTCCAGAGAAAAAAGCAGGGATTGTATTTTCAAACGTAGGTACTGATATAAAAATACCAAATTAAAGTGGTTTAACTGAACTTTGTCTTTTTCATTAAAAAAAATACATTTTTTTTTTCCTTTTAAGACAAAGTAAAATACAGAAAAAAAAAAAAAAAGAGCAAAACCCAAACCAAACAAAAGCAAACCAACAAACAAAAAACAGGATCATTCAGATTGTCACTTTGGGACTAAATGAAATATAAGTCATTATGAAATTGTAGAATCTTAATTAAAGGAAGTGGAAAGCAGGTGCAGGGTTAGTAAGAAAAGGGTAACTTTTTGGTGACATTTGTACGGTGAAAGCAGCACTCCCCGTGGATAAAGCATCTGCATATCATCATGACTCATAACATGAAACTGCCACAATGCAGGGGCACTCATTTTTTCAGAAAATTCTTTGATTCAGAGTGTGATGTTGCCATTCAGTTAACATACTCCAAAAATATTGTTGAGAAACCAGAGAGGGAAATAATTGAAGTGGAAATTCTGGAAACAGAGACAAATTGTGTGGGGAAAGAACCCTGAACACCCTTGACTAGGAACTGAAGAGTACAGAATCTTCGCCCTCACTGTCAGAATGGATTCTTGGAGACTCACATTTTGATTATGTGCATGAGGGTTTCTACTTTTTATTTCTTGAAATAATGCGAGTCTGGGCTTGGTGGCTCATGCCTGTAGGCTGAGGTAGGTGGATCCCTTGAGGTAAGGAGTTCCAGACCACCTGGGCCACATGGTGAGGCCCTGTCTCTACAGAAAATAGAAAAATTATTACCCAGACACTCAGGAGGCTGAGGTAGGAGGATTGCTTGAGCCTGGGAGGTGGAAGTTGTTGTGAGCTGAGATTACACATCAGCTTGGGTCTGGGCAACTGAGCAAGATCCTCTCTCAAAAAAAAAAAAAAAAAAAAAAGGAAAGAAAGAAAGAAATTAGAGAAAAGTAAAAGAAATAATGAGGAGGAGGAGGAAGTTGTAGAGGCTGCAATGTTAGTGAAAGATCTTTACTCCAGGAACTTTATACTGATTTCCCAAGTAAACCTGCGAAACAGCCGCCATGACAAACTTTCTACAAATGCTGGGGGAGGGGTTCATGTAGATTAAGTAATGGATGCACAGCTAATACTTGGCAGGGCAGGAATGCAAACACATTTCTCTCCTTTACTAAAGATTTTTTTTTTTTTTTTTTTTTTGAGACGGAGTTTCACTCTTGTTACCCAGGCTGGAGTGCAATGGCGCGATCTCGGCTCACCGCAACCTCCGCCTCCTGGGTTCAGGCAATTCTCCTGCCTCAGCCTCCTGAGTAGCTGGGATTACAGGCACGCACCACCATGCCCAGCTAATGTTTTGTATTTTTAGTAGAGACGGGGTTTCACCATGTTGACCAGGACGGTCTCGATCTCTTGACCTCGTGATCCACCCGCCTCGGCCTCCCAAAGTGCTGGGATTACAGGCGTGAGCCACCGCGCCCGGCCCTTACTAAAGATTTTACACCCTTTATTGCACAGAGCTGGAAACAAGGGGAAAGGTGGACACCTGTATTTGCATATGTCTGTGTTTACGTCTGGCCCCTCATGTCTAAGGCCTCATTTTGTTTTTATATTTATCTTTATCGCCATATCCCAATTCGAAAATCTGTCCCCTCCCCGCCCTCCCCTGCCCTCCCCCGCCCTCCCCTGCCCTCCCCTGCCCTCCCCTTCTGCTTGCAGTTTATTTTCCACTTGTGTCAGGTGCACAGTTCTGGGTGTCAGGAAACCTCCTAGGTGCTGAGGCTGGGCCAGACTAGGCCGTGGAGAGCAGGGCCCTCTCCTCTTTGGTGTCTGCTGTGTGGATGTGGAGTTGTGCTGGCTGCAGCCACCTAGTCTACAGGGTGGGGGGTGCGGCGTGGGGGTGGGGAGGGGGCGGGAGGGGCTCTGGTGGCCTAGCACGTCCGCAGGCCTGGGGCTGGTGGTCACCCCTCAGGTCAGGACGGGGGCCCAGTCCAGCAGTGCTGGACTGACCACGGGGCTCCTCGGGGCATCTGGAGCCAGGCCACAGGTGGTCATGCTGCTGGAGGCCTGGGGGCGTTCCGCGTGCTCCGCGGACTCCAGCACCGTGGCCATGAACTGGAGGGTGGACCTCCCGAAAAGAAGCTGGCCCAGCAGTGACCCTGGGCAGCCTTGGGGATACCCGGGGGGTGGGGAATGGCTTCCGCGGGGCACTCGGTACTGCCGCAGGAGCTGTTGCTGGAAGTGGAACCCAGGCGGCGCCGGTAGTAGTCGTGGGCAGCCACGAGCGAGCGGCTGGAGGGGATGGCTGCCATGCTCTGCCTCGCGGGCTGGTGGGACCTGGGCGGCGACCCCTCCAGGCCTCTGCGTGATCACAGGTGGTGGGGATGGGGGCGCTTGGCCACGGAGCCCATTTGCAGAGGAGAACACGGGGGCGCGCTCCACGACCGAGACGCGCATGTGGAGTCCACTTACTTACTTTTCTACGAATGCAAAGATTGGCAAAGATTGGCAAAGATTGTCTTAGCGCGATGAAGACACAAGATCAAACCATTGAAAATGATGACTGCAATTAACATTGTCTTTAAAAAACACAACTGTTCTTGAGGAAGCACTTTTAAAATGCTTTCTAAAGAAATAAAAAAAGAGTTGCACATTATTTTATACTATCCATCAATATAGAAGCCTGAATATGGATGGCACCCAAGGGCATCTGAGGGGAGCACGTGCTTCTGGAAAAGAGTGTGAATTTTGCTGTCTGGAAGCACAGAGGAGTTGTCTTTTGCTCTGGCATTACTTTTTAAAGGTGGCATGTGAGGCAAGGTTATGTCACTTCTGAAAATCCCTTAAGAAGGGGACACATTGGAAACAAACGTGCCATCTCTCAGTGAGTCTAAGTGAAATTCTTCCCTGGGGGTGGGCGCAATGGATCTTCTATGACTGAGCATCTGATGAAGTAGTTGGTGCCTCTACAGGGCCAAGCTGTGTGAAAAAGTCTTGTGCTTTATATTTTGAAAAGACCCCAAGCCACTCATAAGATCCCACTGTGAAAGGTCCTGACAACTGAGACTGAGGAAGCAAACGGCAGTCAGGTCCCCTGTGCCCTGTTCTTTCGGGGAGCACACTCATTACACAGAATGGAAGGAGGCAGTGCTTCCCACTGATTGGCTAGTCAGAGCGTTCTCTGTCCTTGCCCCCTTTTTCTCTCTCCCTTTGCTTCTCTCTTTCTCTCTCTATCCCCCCTCCACTTCTCTCTCTCTTTCCCCCACTTGGCTTCGCTCTCTTTCTCTTACACACATACATAAATTTCTCCCTTTTTTAAGTAGATGGGATTGGAAATTCCTGTAAGATACAAAGCAACTACTGTATGCAAAATGGTGAAGAGCCTCTGCATTTCAATTCAGGCTCCAGGACTTAGGTACACAATTTAAGCTTCAAAAACCTTAATTTCCTCATCTGTAAAATGGGGATAATAACAGTAATGATATCAGTGAGTTGTTGAGATAACAATGTGAAGGGCTTAGCACAGTGCCTACCTCTCCTTAATTTTTCAATAGCAGCTTATTGCCAGTGTTCTCTTGCTGTACTCAACCATTGGTGAATACTCTGATAATCACAGAGGTCACCTTTCCAGGAGTCACTTCCTCTCTGACTTCTCCTTGGAACCACGTGTTCTAGTGATTTCCCATCTGCCAAGGCCCAGAATTTAACAGATTGCATGAAGAATAATTTTCTTTCATTATGTTTGAGCCTTGCTGCTCCTGTAACATTTCACTGATGTCTACTTGGCTATTTGATTAAATTTTAGTTAAATATTTTGTAGTCTGTGCTGTGTTTTATATTTTAGGTGCACTTTTCTTCACTGAACTGGCCAGATGAGGTAAAAATGAAGCAACATCTTGGAAAAAAGGTAGCTAGGATGATTTTCACTTTTCTTGTTGGTACTCTCTCTCCTTTCATATATTTTCTTTGATGCAGATACGTCTGGTATTTCTTCCTCTTGTCAGCTGCCTTTCTCAGCTAGGCAGAGTGGGTCTTACAATGGAGAGGAGACCTAAGAAAACTTTGCTCAGTGGCAGCAGAATTTGGGATACCACATTGTACCAGAAATAAATAAAACAATATGGATGAATACTGAACTGTTGTTACTTTGAAAATAAGATATTATAAGATAGATATCTAAAAAATAAGCATGCCAAAAATATGAGTAGTGAAATGAACCTTAGGTATAATAGAAAATCAGAGGAGAAAACATATATCATTGGCTGGGAAGCCTAGGTATCTATCAGGGAATAGTGTTATGCATCTTAGTATATTGAGCAAAAGTTTAAATACTGAAAAATTCATGGGGAGAAATGAAAGCATGAAAGCAGATCTATAACACAGAGCTCTAGTTTGATGTATACTATGCTGACAGGATAAAAAGAGAAGAAGAAAAGCACAGAACTGAGGGAAAATCTTTGTGTTCAGTTACTTTTCTTTTCTCTGTAACCATGCTTATGTAATTTTTGGTTATGCAATGGGAGTATCAGAAAAATGAAACATACATTTTCCAGAAGGGAATCTCTTATAGATCTCTTGAGAATATCTGCCTTGCTGAAACATTTAGATGTGATATTTATTTGCAAAGCGATGGGGCTCCTGTTGGTGGCAGACTGAGGGAAGACAGTGCAGAGTGGCCACCAGGCTGATAGTTGATATTAACCCACAGCACAGCCTCACTGCCTGATGGTTCTTTGTGCTTGCATGCAAGTCAGAATCCAATTAGTCTGAAATACGTTTACACAGAATTGTCACAATGATAATGAAAGAAGGTAGAAAATGTTACTCTCAGAAGTTACGCAAATACTGCCATTGTAGATGGGATCCTGGGGAAGAAAACTGTAAATGATGTAGGGATTGAGCGTCTTTGCTTAGCAAGATTTCAGTGACCCTATGAACCTCTGAACTTTGCCTACTGCTCTGATTAAACTGAAGATATTTACTTTTCTTTAGACACACACACATAGGTACATCCACAACACACACACACACACAAGTCGGGGAAGGGAGAAAAAAGAGTGCCCTGAGGTGACAAAGACTAGACAGAAGATAATGAATGCATCCAAAATACATCAGCCAGCCAACAGTTATTCTTGGATGTTTTGCTTCTGAAGATATATGAAGAAAGGCAGTAAATTGTTTAGTTATATAAGTTGCCTGGAATGCCAGAATGTTTCCTGAACACTGCACAAAGTTATAGAAGAAAATGAAAGCTCTTCTATACACAATGTATTCTCTTTTACATTCTAGGACTAGAAATCTTATCCACTCACAAAATACTGTGACTAAATGACAGAAGACTCTGTCCATTATTAAGCTGGAACTCACAAAATATCATTGATAAGTATGTGGCTAAGATTTATATGCAGGAAAAACCATTAGTAGTTTTATGATTTAAGAGGGTGAGGAACATTCTGAAAATTAATGAATTGGAAATCTGTTTAGATTCTGTTCTGAAAAAAAATTTACTTTTGAAAAAACGTTCGGGGTTAAATGTAGAACTGTAACATAGGAAGTCCTGATGAGAAATGGAACAAAATATGTGAAATAAAAACAGGAGTCTCAAAATACAAACACATTTTAATTTACTAATGGACACTAATGGCTTTGAATAAGGCTGGTAATGCTACTGATAATAAATGATTGACTTCAACCAATAGAAGTGTGACTAATATACTTGGTAATTTTTCTCCTTTGCTCTGGACATTAAGTAATTATTGGATACTGGCTGTGACACACACATTTTATGCATTTGTCACTGCCCTCTGTTGTTTGAGGTTGATATTATTGAGATTGGTAAGCATATACATGTACAATTGTAGCTATAAAGTCTGGTAGGTCTTCAACTTCTCCTTCCATATTATTATTGAGTGACTGCCTTTTGCAACCAACTTTGACACTTGGATTTCTAGTTGGCTCAATTCAGCTATCCTACATCTTTTAAATTACACTATTCTTCAGCTATGCCTTGAAATTGGCATGTAGTATCAGAATACCTTTAAGCTGTTCTTTATTTCTCACCTTCTGCCCACACCAAGTGTTGCGTCCACATAAAATGAGTATTGCAGTTATAGCACATGAACTACTGTATATTATGTAATTCACTAGTTGTCCTCTTTACACTGACTGTAAGGAAACAAAAACAAACTCGAAGTTCATTTCTCACAAATGCCGCTTCAGGACAATACTTCCTGGAATAAGGTAGGGTATTCACTTACCAATTCATTCGGGTTTATTATGCCATGAGCTATGTCTTTGTGTCCTTCATATTTAGTTCTTGCTAAGCTCTTGAATAATATTGCTTCTCATATCCCAATCAACCAATGAGGCAAATGTGGGTGAATGCAGATGTTTGACTTGTCTATTTTGGAAATGCACTTTAAGGTTGCAGTTTGATCACAGTCCATTTTAGCGGTTGCATTCCAACCTAGGTGCTATTTCACTCTGCTAGACTCTTTGGGAAAATTGCAAGATGATTGATGGCTCTTATTTGTAGTTGACAGTCCAGTGATCTATTTCCCATTTTCTCTTTGCCATTTCAAATAATGGTAAATTTCTGCCATCATTTTCCTTGACCATGTGAACTGCTGGTTTCCTATGAGAACAGATTTGCTTTCCTGAAAACACTCTGTTCTGGCATTCTGTGTGGATTTGCTCTCAACAAGTCAACCAGGTAAAGATTTATGGCAAGAGGGAGTCCTCAATGGTGCCACATGCTAAAGTGGCTGAATTTCATTATTGAGCTACAATGTTGGCCATAAATATACATCAGACTTGGAAGCACATCCCATGCCTGACACTCACATCCATAGTTGGTAGTGGCTACGGTTGCAAAGAGAGACTATGAGCAACAGGACACCGCATTCTGGAGGTAGCCAAAGGATTACTGTTAGGCCTGTCAGTGGAAAATGATCTATGGTAGAACCCAGGATTATTGCTATGGTCTGAATGTTTGTGTCCCTATGAAATTAATATGTCGAAATCCTAATCTCCAAGATGATGATATGACACGGCCTTTGGGAACCAATTAGGTTGTGAGGGCAGAGCTCTTATGAGTGTTCTTATAAAAGGGGCTGGAAAGAAGAGCATTTTCCCTTCTACCACGTAAGGACCCAACCAGAAGGTATCATCTACAAACCAGAAAACAGGCCCTCTCCAGACATAGACTCCGTCAGTGCTTCTTTCTTGGACTTTCCAAACTCCAGATCTGTAATAAATAAATTTATATTTTTTATAAGCTACCCAGTTTAAGATATTCTGTTATAGCCAACCAGATTAAGACAATTATCAAACATGGACTTGAGGGCTATGAAAAATGTCACCTTGAACTCATTATATTTACCGGAAAATCTGAAATCCTGCAGTGCAGACAATAGTAGTTTTTCATCAGAGCCCATCAAATGCATACACTGCTGCAGG